TGCCAAGTGAGGCAATCAGAGTTAGTTGAATGCAATTTGGGGCTCAAGGAGACCTAGATCTTGGCTCGGGTGAGTTGGATCAAGGCTCAAGTATAGTAAGATCAGGTAGACCTAGGGTTAAGGTAGGTCATGGCCTAGGTTGATTTTGGCAGAGTTTGATCCATGTGGCTAGAAATTCCTTCTGAAAAGTGGGGGTCAGGCCCCAATTTATAGACATTTGGCAACCCAAATCATTGTCGTATGCAATCTTTATCGATCAACTACGCCAGTGGGGTTGCCAATGACACCACTAGGGTTGTTGAGGTCATGATGGATTTTCTCAGGCAGGCAACCTGACCATGTGATTTGGGCGGTAGCATGGTCATAGGCCAACGACACTTGTGGCCTCGTTGGAGCTGCCACCGGCCTATATTGGTTCTCAATATGGTGGTGGTGTGACTCAGAGGCCAACAACATGGGTGACCTCATTGGCAACCTCACTGACCTTCTTTGGCACAAACCTCAGCGATGATGGTCGGGTCGTTGGCAACCACATTGTTGGTGTACTGATGACCGTCATCATTCTATTGCAGGCTCGTAACTTGTGTCACCGCCTCCTCAACAATGTTGGTGCCCTCGTTGGCGTTGTAGTTGATGTCGTTGGTGTTTGTAGCCAACGACCCCAGTGCCAAAGTTGGTAACACCAGTGGGGTAGTTGAACCCTTTGCTTACCGATTCACTTCAATGAGGCTCATGTCCTCTTTTGCGTTCCTGGCAGTGTCTTCCTTTGCATGCCCGGTGTGTAATCGTGTTTTATGGCCAACAACCTCACTGTTGTAGTTGGCGATGCTAGTGGGGTAGTTGAGCTCTATTGGCCCCGACTTTCTTCCACGAGGCATTTGCCCTCGTCTGCACTACTAGTGGCGTCGTTCCATCATGCCTTCAATGACCCCATACCTGTAGTTGGACCTGGTGGGGGACATGAGTGAGTTTTGTGGCCAACGACCCCACCCCCGTAGTTGGCTATACCAGTGGGGTAGTTGAGCTCTATTAGCCTCGACTTTCTTCAATGGCTATGCCAGTGGGGTAGTTGAGCTCTATTAGCCTTGACTTTCTTCAACAAATTTTCTTTCGGACTGCATTTCTTGTCATGTTCTTCCAGTCTGACACATTTCTTGTCGATCGTGGCAAAAACAATGAAAAATGCAGTCTGGCACACTGTGCTGGACAACACTTTCCTATTTTGGGAGGAGAGAGAGAGAGGATAACATCAGGAGAGAGAGAGATGATTGAAAGGGTAGTTTTATCTTTAACGTATTAACTTCTTGACTGAGGAGGTAAAGTAAGGAGAACTAGTAGTTGGGTTTAGGGTGTTATAAAAAAAGTATCGAGGGTTGGACGTCTATAGAATACATTCCATTTTAAGTGGGTATCCATAATTTTCCCTAAAAAAAATCAATTTAGATTGGAAAAAAAATTAACAAAATAAAAGGTTAGCACCTGTAAAAGAAATCCATAACTGAATTGCACATGATAGTACCAAAATATAAGAATTTTTCTTTGAAAATTGAGTGCTGTTTCCCAAAAAAATAAAAACCAAGTCAAGAAAAATATATGCAATCATAAAACAAAGATCAAAAGCTCGAATTACACTTTCACAATATCTATTTTTATGTGTCCTGAATCAATGTACAGAATGACGAAACCAGATTCATATAACTAACCCTAAATCATTGAGACATGATTATGATGATGATGATAAAAAATATAAAAAATATTTATATAAATACAAGTGAAATCCTATGATTCTTCAAATCAAGATCATAGGATACTACAAATCAGATAAATAGGTTCCATGCAATTCATAATCTAAATTGAGGTGATTTTCGGATTCGAGTCCGTAATTTTTAAACATCACTCCCCAGTAACTAGGGCACCATGTTGGAAAAATTTGCATTATTGGCAATTGTGGGAAATGATTGGGGTATTATGAAAATAGTTTATATAAGGTGTCAACCGTATAAAGTACAAGTAAGGTGCTCCCAAATAATCCATAGGCAAAGGTTTTTCCTATGCTGTAAAATCCTCCAATCAATCATCTCAACCTTGAGATCCCTGGATATGAAAAAATATGAATTTAGTTCTTAAAAATAGTTAATCTTCTAACATATTATCCAGACGATCCATTTTCAAGATTTTAAAGTGTTTATAGATATGCTTGGTCGTCACCAATCTCTAGACTTTTAAATATTTCATAATTGGGGGCAGCGATAATTTTTCATGTACGTTGTAGCGCCAAAATTGCATTTTAGACGTAGTTTTGAGATGCACCTACGTTCAATACTATAAAGTTTACACCTTTATACAAACCTCACCCCAATATTATTGTGCAACTGTTAAAGAAGGAAAGGGCATAAATAAATGAAGCACATGGTTCAAAGTTCTAACAAAAAGGGCGAGATGAAACCCTGAACATGATGAAACAGCATCCGGCACATCGGCAGACCTCTTTTTACTTCGAATATACACCCTGTACTCACTGAAACAAGGGCCCCTTCTAAATTACATTGATACACAAGGGTAGAGCAGGAAATCCCTCATAAAATGATGCCAAAAGAGGCAAACGCCCCAGAAGAAACCAGAGTAAATTAGAGCCCAAAAAGAAGAAAAAAAAGAAGGGTGGTGGGCTAAAATCCAAAGGAAAAGAGCCTGTGCCCCCACCCCATTCCTTTCTCAAATGGAAAGAAGAGAGATGGAGGTGGAAGAGAGAGAAAGAGAGGAGAGACATAGAGAGAGGTGGAAGAGAGATAGAGAGACGAAGAGAGGTGTAGAGAGAGGGTGGAAAGTTATGATTGGACATGAGTGATGATGGGAATGGGCATAGGGAAAGGGGGAGTACCATTATGCAGCCAGTTACAGTTGGCTTTCTCATTGACAAGACAGCCGGTGCAGAAATGGACGGAGAATCTGATGTGATCTCCAAAATCAACATAATTAATATTAATTTTCCCTTTCTTTTTCTTTCTAATGGGAATAAAAGTTTAGTAATAACCAATTGCAGCTATATTCCAATTTCCTTTTGTTTTTTTGTTCGAATAAAAAGAGGGTGGCTTTGTTTTAAATTTGGTTGAAAGCCTTTACACTCGGCCAATCCTCCCTCAACAATTTCTTAGTAGGCCATGTAAGTCTGCTATGGATCTCATTTCTCTTAAAAAACATAGCGAGAGTATGTATGCATCATTTGCTTATCTATCTATATATATATATATGTTTTATATATATATAAATATTTAAGAAGTTGGGAGTTCAGAATTGAACTTGAGATGTAGCATTGTTCGACGTCAACTGCTAATCACTCAATTCCAATCTCCATTCCAAAAAAAAAAAATACGTCCCTAAGATTTGATATAGGACTTCTTCCTCCTCTTCGATCATAGGAAATATGTTGGTACTATCATCATCATTGTAGCTTTTTATTCGATAAGTCTATTGGTATTATAAGTGTGTATTTTTGTTTTCACTAAAAATAAAATGGGTCGGTGGATTTCATAAAATTCTTATTTAAACCATTCATATTAACATTTGCGTAATTTGTATTAGTATTATGTTCGAAGGTAAACGACAAAGACTACAATAGAAGGAAGGAAAATTTACTCAATTGCTTTTGTTTCCATGTGTAGAATGCTGGTCTTCGGGTTGAACATTGCAATACAATTATTGGGGAACCAAAAGATGATGTCTAGTCGTATTTTATGTCTTTGTACTTCCACTATATTATCTTCCTTTTATACGAAGGGCCTTTTTGACAAAGGGTGCAGTTTGTATAGAGCCTAGGCTCCAAACAATCCAATTAAAGCCTACTTTCAAATAGTATCAAGAAATGTGGTTTTAATATTGAAAATCATTTTGATAGCTTTAAAATATATTTTATATTTATTTATAAAGTTTAAAGCTAAAAAAATAGTGTAGATCAATGATATCTATAAAAACTTGAAATTTTTTAAAATTAACGGTTAAAAAATGTATCACAAAATACACTATTTTCTAAATTTGAAATCAAATTTTTTCTCATGTCCACGTAAAGATTATCAATTTGAGGATATTTGAACATCAAAACAACCTCCTCTAGTAAAACTTTTGTGGTAGGCTCGAATTTGATTGTTTAGAGCCTCAACTCTATATAAACTTTTCCCTTTAACAAAAAAAATAAGTAGTTCATGCCAAGGGCACCTCATGTATGCTCATATTGCCCTTTGACTCTTAATCCACGTAAAATTTTCTCCCTTTCGGCTTGCTGAAAAAATAAATGTCATATTTTTTCTTTTGAAAACCAATTGTTGTATTATTTATCTTTGGGTAATCTTTCTCTTTTTCTCTAGAAAAATTGTTCCACGAGTTAGTGGGTGCAAGAGCTTGCTAACTCTTCAAGGTCCATTTTAAAGACGAACAATGTGTAAAACGTACATAGTCAAATCAAATATGGACGGTGCCAAAAATATCCTCTCAAAAAGCACAGTTTAAAGTTCAATTTTTTTATATATATATTTATCATGGGCTTGGCTTAGATGATGAATCCCATAAAATTTAAATCAAAATTCATCTTTAAAATGAATTTTAGAGGAAGACCGCACGTGTACATATAAGTAGGCTGACTAATAGAAACCCATCCCTCTCTCTAAGCATCTTCCAAGAAACAAGGTGACCGACAAGAAGTAATATCTCCATCCATTGAAAACCATCTTCCCAGAAACACCTATCCCATAATATTCAAGAAAGTTGTGGAAAAAAGAATTATATATTCAAGAAGAATATTTCTCATGTTTTCCTCGTTCTAAGTACACAAAAACACAACAATTGGGGATTGCAATCTCCATGTTTTCAAGGAAATGAAATAAAAAGAAGAGAGGAGCGTGTTAGTTAAATGAGCTTCCCTGTCTACAAAGATTGAACAGAATATGGTGTCCGAATAAAGTCCACAATAATACCTTCTTTTATGCACCTTGATGGATCAAAAAAAAAAAAAAAAGGCACCTGCTTTTAGGCACATAGTTTATAAGTTTTTTAATGCATCTTGTCTCCAGTCTCGCAGCTATTTAAAGCCCACAATCTTTTTCAAACGCTGTAAGACCCAGTTTCAAATTCGGTCTCGAGACCCTTAAACACGCATGAGGAGGAAAGTCTGGTTCTTTAGAGAGAGAAAATGAGTTTTTAGAGAGAGAAAGAGAGAGAGTTTCTTTTGGTTGTTTTGTGATGCGCAGTCGCTTTCCCCCTACCTGATCTACTCATTTCCATGCCCCAAGGGCGGGACAAATCCTGGTTTTGCCTTGCACTCGACCTATATATCAATGGTCCTCTCTCTTTCTCTCTCTCTCTCTCTTGTTTGATCTTCATCTCTTACACTCTCTTCTGGTACCTATTTGCATGTTTCATCTGGAAAGCCCTTCGAAGCCGGAGTCTCTAGTCGAAGATTAGGGTTCTCCAACAATATGTAGAGTAAAGTATATGGCTAGGGTTTTTGAAGACGTTTCAAGGGAAACTAGGGTTCGTCTGTTTGGCTTGGCTAATGGAAATAGTTTAATTTTGTATGTGGTGGTCGTGATTTCTTGCAAATGCTTTGTTTGTTTTGTGCAGAGCAAGTGAAGTTCCAGGTTGGCAAGGGAGCTCTCTTCAGTCCACTCATGGTTGGCATGAGGGTTGGGTTGGCTGCCGTCTCATTCATTCAAATGCTCAGTGAATTTGTCAAGAAAGCTAACTCAGTAATTGTGTGAATGATGCGGGAGACAGATCGATTCTTTGCCATCTATTCTTGGACTGAAGGGAGCTCCCTTCTCTGATTATTATGCTTCTCTCCCTCTCATACTCCATGCTTGCTTCTTATTTTTACCATGCAAGTCAACCCTAGATCGATCTCTCTGTAAGACATCATTGTTTGCCTCTAGATCTCTCTCCCTCTCTCTCTCTCTAAAGCCTTCGGGAGTCTGATCGAAAATAAGTGATTATGTCGTCGTTCTCAATAGAAGATTTCATTTTGCACAACTTTTATTCCTACCACTGAATTACCCAGAGAGGAAAAAAAAAGGAAAAAGGATTTGATTTTATGTATATTATTTTATTTTTTTCCTTAATTTTATGTGGTGGCATTTATGGATATCGGATGTATCGATGTGCTCATCTTTTGTGTGGTGGATGTCGATTTGTTCGTACAGTCAAAGAGACTGTGGAGCTACAGCAATATTTTCGTAGGGTAGCTTAGTTCTTCCTCTATTTATATTAGGGTTTTATCTCTTGATCCAAGGGAAGTTTTCTTGTGGATTAATTAGTACGGTAGAATTGAACCTGCACCATTTAATAAGTAAAAAATTACATGGTGAAACCCTTATTCTAAGTTTCTTTAACATGCTTTATGCTTGCTGGTTCCTGTGATCTTGTGGAGAGCAATGAACACTGTGCAAAGGGTTGAAGTAGCAATGCTTGCTATACCAGAACTAAGTCCCTCAAGGAAATAAATATGGTGGGATTCTCTCTCTCTTAGAATTTATTGAATGCATCCATCCATCCATGTGGGAGGCTATGTCATATGGATGGATTCATCCATCCATGTGGCCAAATACATGGAACAGGCTCCCACTGTTACTGTATTACTGTAACGTGTTGGTTTGACTGCTAATAGTAGTTGCTACATTGGATTGATTTTGATGGTGCTTATATTTCAAGATCCAATGGAGGTTTGTGTGGGGGATGCATGTTATGATGCGGGATGGATCACCATGTCCATGACCATGGCCATGATGAATGCCAGGTTATTCTATGGATGGTTTTTTTTTTTTTTTTTTTTCTGAATATGAGTGTTTTGTTAATTATGATGATGAGGACTTCAATTGAATGTTATTTGATTGATGAATGGGTGTATGCATGGGTATATGGATGCAGGGGAAATGGAATCACGTGGGGCGGCCTTGCATGAGTTGGTATAACCGCAAGTTCCCAGGAGACAAGCTTGTCGAATGCTCACCAAGTCCCCATGCAATGCATAACCCATCCCACACAACGCATTCCCTTTTAATTTTTATTTTATATTCATTCTCTTTCTCTTGAAGCACAGCAGGAAGCTCTACTGTATCAAACGTGGGGTCTTAGCTGCTTTAACACTCCTATGTATATAACATGTGAACGAATAAATCTTTGCCTCCCTCTCTTTTAAGTTGTGCATCAAATGTACAGTGTCTCCAAGCTTTCTCTATGAGTTGTTGTGCATCAAACTTCGACTCTCTGCAAGCTGTAGTGCATCAAACATTGGGCACCTTCCTTATTGCATGATATATATGAGGTGTAAACACATAAATAGCTCAATCTCTGGTGAGGGTTATGGAATGTGTAATTTAGTGTTTGATTGCATGAACCGGCCTCGGAAATCAGCCTTGGGCTACTTGGAACTGGTCTGGATAATCGGTACATCCTGAACTGGCAAAAAAGAGTAAACAAAATTTTTAAAAAAATCTCAAAAAACAGGAGAAATATGGTTAAAGTATAATTAAACAAAAAACGCCCAAATAAAATTATGAAGTAGGGAAAAAATGGATTTTAAATAATCAATTTATGTTCAAGGGTATTTTAAAAATAATTTGAAAATAAAGGAAAATTATAAAAAAGTATTTATAACCGAACCAAAATGCTTCTCTTTTGTATTTTTTAGATTCAATAGAAAATATTAAAAAACCTGCTATGAACAAATTTCTTGTTTTTTAGCTTTTTTATAATTTTTTATTTTGTGTTTTTGAAATTAGGGTGGTTTAGCGGGATGACTGCCCAAACCCGCCACCAATTGCTGGCTGTAAGTGACGTGGAAATGTCCGAGTAGACCCGGCCGGTTTTGCGAACAATAGTTGAAGTTGAGGCAAATCGGATTCCCCTCCATATGCATCTTGCTCGCGAGTCCTCTCGCAAGACTTATTACAGATAAGAGGGGAACCTCATTAATTGAAAATTAGCACTTTTGTATATCATGCCATCTTGTAAAACGATTATTTCATGCAGTGTTGGGCTACTTGGTCTGAGCTCCGAGTATTCAGCAATATAAAAATAGTTTATAGAAAGCCGAGGTTCTAAACAATCAAATTGGAATTTACTTCAAAAGTTTCACTGAAAGTGGTTGTTTTGATGCCTAAATATCATTAGATTGATTATCTCGACATCAAGATGCATGGACATGAGAAAAAAAAATAGGATTTCAAGTTTTTTGAAAATTGTGCATTTTATAACTCGTTTCGGTATTAAATTTTCAAAATTTTCAAGTTTTTATAGATATGCATGATCTACACTTGTTTTGAAGTTTTAAATTTTATAAACAAAGATAAATATATTTTAATGCTATTGCCAAGATTTTCAATATTGAAATCTATTTGAAGGTAGGCTCTAATTTCATTATTTAGAGTGTAAGGCCTTATGCAAATCGTACCTATTAAAAAATTATAAAAATCTCAAAAAAAAAAAGAATTTATTTGTAGTATTTTTTTTTAATGTTTTCTTTTATTTTGGTAAAAAATAAAAAGTATTTTGGCCAGGAATACCCTTGCTTACAAACTCTATTTTTCGCTACTTTTTTAAGGAAAAGTTTTTTTGGAGCTTGGATTCTAAACAATCAAATTGAAGCCCAATTCAAAAACTTTACACGAAGAGGATGCTTTTATGCCCAAATATCCTCAAATTGATCATCTCGACGTCAAGATGCATAGACATAAGAAAAATATATATTTTAAGTTTTGGAAAGTGCTTTCGATGATCAATTTTCAAGATTTTCAAGCTTTCCTAGATATGTTCTATCTACACTATTTTTGAAGCTCGAAATTTTATAATTAAAGATAAAAATATATTTTAAAGCTGTCATAAAGACTTGTCATATTGAAACTACATTTCTCGATACTATTTGAAGGTGTGTTTTACTTTGATTGTTTAGAGCCTTTGCTTTATACAAACTGCACTTTGTTTAATTTTACTTCAAATGTATTAATTTTTTTTTTGTATTTTTTTAACATTTCCTGTTTGCTCCTACAGTACTTGAACTTACTCGGCCAAGTTACTCAAACTCAGGCCGAGTGTGGTGCTTCAGCCGAGCACTCGGCCCGAGTTGTGGTTTGGATAATTGATTTCATGTAGCCTGAGGCAATGGAGGCCATGTACATACCGATCCTTTAATATATTTAGAATTACAAAGTGTTGGGTGGAACTTAAAATTTCTGTTACTATTATAATCTCATATTACATATTTAAATGATTGGTAAAAGGCTCTGATGATGATTGCCTATTTAAATGAAATTCATATGAAAAGTGAGATGATGACAAAAATTTTAAAGTAGAAGATAAATCAGCGGGATATGTGGGAGATTTTGTCTGAATGAGTAAGTTGTTGATATTATTTAGGGAGAACAAATGCTCGTCCAACCAAAGAAAAGTGTATGTTCATTGTCACTTCCCAAAGAAATGTGTTTTCACGATTTAACAGTCCCATTTCTATTAACGGTGATGACTATTCGCGAAAATGAGTTGCTGGGCAGTTGATAACTGTATGTCTAGCGCCGATGCAAAGTGCAAAGTGTACCTCTAATGCCCTTACATCATGGCATGTGAGTGTCGATGCAAAGTGCAAAGCATACCCCTAATGCCCTTACATCATGGCATGTGAGTGGCAGATTCTCATTAGGCCATCTCTCCTTCGTTCCATTGAACAGAAAGGCTGAAAGGGTTCCTCGTTTATGCTAGGCGCCTTCATTCTTAGTGGCTATTGTAGGATTAAAAACCCGGTTCTTTATCATCTAGAACAGCGTAGGAAAAATCGGGCGGTTCAAATTGGAACTATCCAGTGAGATTGGAACTGGCCGGTTCTGGTTTTGATTGGTTTTGGTGAATCGATTGGGTATTTTAAAAAAAATTACAGAAAATCCTTTGGATTTTGTTTGAAATGCAATTTGTAATGTTTTTGTCCGTTTAACCCACGATGAAATGTGACTCTTGTAAAAATATAGTACATAATACAATCCCTTTGATATAAACCAATGTATTTTTCAATATTAAATACTAATATGGTCCACACTTATCTCAAAATAACAGATCAGGTCTATACTCTATTTGGATAAATGAAGGTATTGTTAGACTTGAAACTAGGGCGGTTATACAACAAACCGGTGGCAAAACACATAAGCAATACGCATTTTTCTGGTGTCCATAAACACCTTTTATATGGGAGTTTCGCTTTTATTCCTACATTAAGAAGTGCTCTATACAGACAAATCCAATATCCTAGAAAGTGGTTGGACTTCTGTGCATCGTCGTGAGTCTATTGGATTTGGATTTGTATTTCGAACACCTCAATTCATAAATAATCATAGACACATCTAGAACTTAACCTCATTGGATTTGTATTTGTATTTCGAACACCTCAATTCATAAATAGTCATAGGCACATCTAGAACTTAACCTCATTTTAGATAGAACATGAACATATCTATCCACTAGTGACAAGCTAACCACTTGAAATATCTTGTTTTTCCTATTGAAAATGAAATTTGTGTTGAACATAGAATTTGCAGTAGAAAGATTAGGATGGGTTTGCATTGTTGCCAATTGCTTTATAGACTTTAGCCCGGCTCTACTTAGCATTTTCCAAATGTATTCCCTTGTGAGGCCTTTAATTAAAGGAAAAAATGTATATTGAGCCGAGGCTCTAAACAATCACATTAGAGCCCACCTCAAAACCTTCACTTGAAGAGGGTGTTTTGATGCCCAAATATCCTCAATTTGGTCATCTCGACATTAAGATGCATGGACATTATAAAAAAAATGGATTTTAAATTTTGGAAATAGTAAATTTTGTAATGCTTTTTTGAACCACCAATTTTCAAGATTTTCAAGTTTTTGTAGATATGTTCGATGTACACCATTTTTAATGCTTTAAATTTATAATTAAAGATGAAAATATATTTTAAGGCTGTCACAGAGATTTCCAGTATTGAAACCACATTTATCAACACTATTTGAAGGTGCGCTTTACTTTGATTATTTAGAGCCTAGGCTCTATACAAACCGCACTCTTAATTAAATTACCATTTAGATTTTCTTGGACTTAAACATATTCTAGACTTATAACTCTATTTCTTACCAGCATTTGAATCAACCATGATATATATTAGATTTACCATTAGAAATATAATTGCATGTGCTATACAATGTTGCCTGACAATAAGTTGTGATTACTGGAATTAACTTTGGTCATATTGGCAGTTTATATAGCAAGTTCTTTGACTATTCTACTTCTTAACAAACATAATCTATGACTAAAAATTCAGACTCCATTATTGAGTGGGAGATACATGATTGTTTGTTTCATCCATACGAAATTGTTCCTCCAACCAATGTAAATATCCATGTAGATTTTCTTGGAGTTCTACATTTCTACAAGCGTAAGTATCCTTCCAATGACTTAGGATAGCTAATATAGTGTATCCTGTGATATGTACTACATGTTAGATATCTTGAAACACAAGATATTGCATCCCAATATTCTCAACCAATGCAATTTATTTATTTACAAAATTTCCCAATATGCAATATCTAGTCTTGCACAATTCATTACATTATTAGAGCACCCATTATCCTGATATGCTCTACTTATGACGTACTTCTCCCTATATTTCTTTCCAACTTGATATTTGGATCTATTGGTGTTGAGGTGGACTTACAATCACAATACTCAAGTCTAATGAGTAGATTTTCTTAAAATAAAGATTTATCTAAAACTTTTTTTTGACAAGAGCACAGATCTTTTATTGCTTAAATATCGATACAAAAGAATTACGCATCATAAGCATAAGCATAAACATAAGAAATAGAAATAGAAGGAAGACGAACACCATCTTTGGCCAAAGAATCAGACATATCGTTGGTTTTCGGTAAACATGTTGAAAGCACACAATCCGATTCTAACATAGATCTAAAATCTCTTTTCAACACTCCCGCAAGCTCTATGGTGGTCTTCCAATATAATTGCACAAATCAATGACGTTTAAAGAATCATGTTTCCTCATCTCCTTTACATTGTAAGAAAATGTGGTCTCCTGTTTTCTCATCTCCTTTACATAAAATGCAAATGTTAACGATCACCAATCATAGATCTCCACCACCATTTAGCTTAGAGGGTTTGATTAATAG